CTGGGCTGAAGTTCAGTCCTTCGATTGATTTATAAGATGGCAAGTCTGAGAAAAAGAAAACTAAATGTGTAGACTCAATAGTTCCTCTGTGTCTAAATGACAGTTCTGATAAGGAAAAAAGTTCTGAAAATTGAGATACGAACACTTGGGTGAATATGCCTGAGAGTCATTAACCCCCAATTTTCCTGAATTCCTTGGCCATTGGAAACAAGTCCTTGCCAGAGGCCGAGGAGAGTATGTGTAACCCTTTGCCAGGCCTTGGAGAGTATATGATTACCTCAACTTAAGCCAATGGCTCAGAAGATGATATTCACTGTCATTAAGATCTGTCCTTACCATATTTTATTGCTTCCAGAAAATAACCATAGTCAATCTCAGCACAGCCTAAGCAGGGAAGTTCAAGACTGATTCAGAAGCAACAATTACATACCAACAGAATTGTAGAAACAGGAGAAACACACACACACACACACACACACACACACACCAGCAGAAACATGGGGATACATGTAGCATGGTATCTTGAGGGGTTTAACTGTGGTAAGGTGCAGCATTTGGGTTGGGTAAGAGATAATTCATAGAGATTTCACACAATTCAGTGTTCTGACGAGTATGTCTATAGCTAGCCTTAATAATTTGTTGAGATAATTCCTTAAAACTTGGATATGCAGTGGCCTACAGTAAGTAAGGTAGTAATGCCAGAACTTTTTTTGGCAGAGTATTGAAGAAAGGTCATAAGGCTCAGTATGGTGGAAATCTTAGAAATGAATTAGCACATGGGACTCCTGACTATGTTCCTGAGAGGCAAGAGGGAAAAATCCCTTCTCTAAAGCAATAAGGAATGCACTGTTGAAGGGAACCCACAGTATCTTTGAGACCTTTGGCTGTGGTTGTGCTCTAAAGGCCACAGAACTTGAATCTCAATATCAATGGGGATGGCAGTATTATATAACAACTGAGGCTGGTAGCAGCATTAATTATCGGAGGTAAAAGGGACATGATTGCTGTAATAGGCAGTAAGACAAGAGTGGCAATCAGTGAGCCTTGACCCACAGATAGCAAGATAGAAGGGAAATTGACTTGAGTGTTGCTTCATTTGTGTAACAAAAATAATTGATATCTAAAAAGCAGACAGCTGACATCAGTTGCAGGCATGGAAAAATCATCACTTTACCTGGTTTTCAGACTGGGTATAGTTCACAGCACCAGAATCTAGTGAAAAAGAGACTATTTCCCTTGGAAAAACAAACTGAAGTGTCAACTCAGATACAAGTAATAAATATGATAAATATATAGAAGTCTTTTCCTCAAAGACTCTGTGACCAGGGTAATTTTGCTCTGGGAAAAAATGGAGCACCCAGACTTTTTGAACACTGCAAGATATGGTGGCTGAGCTGATACTTATAAAAGGAGATCTGATCCATGTTGCTTCACTGGGTAGAGTGGAGATTTATGGTGTTCAGATAGTATATGGACTTTTAGTCCAAGGTTTTCTCATTGTGGGTCCAAGCAGTTTGCAGATCCATTCCATGGTTGTACTTCAGATATACACTTAGCAAATGATAGACTCCTCACAAAGAAGGGCCAATTACAAGCTCCTAGGGCTAACCTCCACTCTCTTGACCAGGATAAGTGTACCAAAAGCAATATAGCATCCTAAGAAGTATTGAAATGAGCACTGCTATCAAACACTTAGAAGATGTAAAGTGATCTCCATCATGTTCAGTTTACCTGCCAGACCTCTGCAAAAACCAGATAGATCATGGTTGATGTAAGAGGACTACTGGAAATGTAGTGTGGGTCTCTCTTTCTCTCTCTCTGTGTGTGTGTGTGTGTGTGTGTGTGTGTGTGTGTGTGTGGTGGGGGTAGTGGTGGCGGGTATCGGTAGCTTCATTTTTGGCTATTATATCAAGATACTTGGTATGCAGCTATTAATTTGGGGAATGGTTTCCTTTGATCTGTAGCAGTAGGAAAAAATAAAAGCAATTTCATTTACATAGCAAAGATAGCATTTCACCTTCTCTACTTCCTTTCACAGGTAACAGACCTAAACTGCAGTCTCTCACTGCCTATTCCTGTTCCTCTTCCTTTTATTCATCACAAGCATCTTCTTTCATAAATAGGTTGAACAAATAATACCATCTTGGAGTGGTAGAAAGTATTTCTTGAATGATTATACAAATTAATACAAGGTAGAAGTAAGATTTATGCATTCCAAATAGTCCATTTATGGAATTTCTGCTTCCCTAACCTGCATCTTTAGGCTCTGCTAGGTTAGAGTTCCTGCGTCATAGATGGTACTGACTTCTTCTAGGAGATAAAGTCAGATCCACTGCACAGAAAGCTATAATTACCACCTGGCCATTTTGTATTAAGTATTACTAGACCAACAAAGCCTGAGATAATTCATCTTGATTATCATTAGGACCTTGGGTTGTGACTACAAATTTGGGGGCATGGAATAATTATATCTGATAGCCAAAGGACTCACTGGGTTGTCTGCTGTGTGCTTCTGTGGCCAGTGATAAGGGGGAGTTGGCAACTCCATCAACCATGCAGCATAATTGAAGGCTTTGACTCCTCAGGAACGATTGTTTCATTCCACTAAGTCAGCACAATGCCAGCCAAGGATGAGGAAAGTCTAGAATGAGGTAGAGTAGGGAGCTAACTATTAACTATGCCTCCATAAGCAACTGCAGCATTAAGGATCAAAGCTTAGCTCAGCATTAAGAATTAAGCATCCACTGTAATGGCCAGTGAAATCTCCTAAAGAGACCAATTCTACTGGTCTATTTGCCACTGGCCACCATATCTGAGGTGCAACTCAGAACATTTTAGGTGTTCAATAAATGCTTGTTGAAGAACAAAAGATATAAAATCAGCAAATTTCTTCTACTTATGATGGGAGCCCCTAAGTATGCTTTCCTAACAGCTTTCCTGTCATTAGTGTAAATGATATCCTGTACTTCTAATAGTAAATCATTAATTTGAGTTTTTGCTATAGATCACTGTCATGATCTTCACTTGTGTAAGTTTTCCAAAATTCTGATCAAAAGAGAAGTTGTTTGATCACTGATGTTCCAACTTGAAGCTTTCACAGATCAAATATATTAGAATATAAAGGCTGTCTGAACATCTTTTGTCCATTTAGGTCTTCTCTAAGTTTGAGAGAGCCAGGGCTGTTTTTGATGCTTGCAGTGTATTAGATAATAAATATTACATGGAGTCAAAATAACTGTAGTATATTTTGAACGTTTACAAGTAATAAAATAATGTTTTTAACTCTCAAAGTAAATTTATTATAATTCCCTTTTTATCATAGGCTGTCAAAAGTCTAATAATGAGGCTCATCATGAACATGGGACTGGGACAAATGGATCTCGAGGTTCCACTCCACTGAGCTTGATCTTGCTCAACTCATAAGAGTTTTAACTTGTTGGTACTTTAAAGCATTTCTCAACGACTCTTTTATGCTTCTGAAAAATAGTTCTGCACTTCCACAAAGTGCATCTGGAAATATTGGTACATTTGGGATAATAGCTTTCATATTTCAAAATTAGATCTGATAACTTACTCTATGGAACAATGAGAAAAACAGAAGCTCAGCTAGAAGAAATTGTATAACATGCAGTTTACATTGCTATACCTAAAACTACGCGTAGGTAATAAGTGATATCATACCACTTGGGGGATATTTTTGGAAATAAATACTATTCCTTTTATTAAGTTTAAATAAATGTTACATACATAGGTAGCAGAAAAAGTATACATCAGTGGGATATGTAATTTTTAAGTGTGGGTTGGTGATATGGTTTGGCTGTGTCCCCACCCATATTTCATCTTGAATTCCCATGTGTTGTGGTAGGGACCCAGTGGGAGATAATTGAGTCATGCGAGGAAATCTGTCCTGCGTTATTCTCATGATAGTGAATAAGTCTCAAGGGACCTGATGGTTTTAAAAATGGGAGCTTCCCTGCACAAGCACTCTCTCTCTTTGCCTGCTGCCATCCACGTAAGACATGCCTTTCTCCTCCTTTCCTTCTGCCATGATTGTGAGGCCTCCTCAGCCACGTGGAACTGTAAGTCCATTAAACCTCTTTCTTTTGTAAATTGCCCAGTCTTGGGCATTTGGTGTTAATCATCCTTGGAATCTTCTGGAACTAAAATGTTTTGCAATAATCTTTGAGTGTGCCCATGATCACAAAATTGAGTAACAGAGATATGGGGACCACAGGCACAGAATCTTATTGTAGACATGGGATCAGGATATGGCAAGGCTAATTATCTTTCTTGTGAGTATAAACAGTTAAATGTCCTTCTGGCTGTCAGATTTAGAATCCTACCAACAACTATTTGTAGAGCAGAATATTGTGGCAGGCACTGCTGTGATGTTGACTTAAGACTCCTTATGAGTGGTTACTCATTCTCATTTATCACTGTATCCATAATGCTGAAGACACAGAAAAAGCTTAACAATTATTGATGGAATGTTTTTAAATGAATGCACTACCACGTTTGATCCTCACACTGACCCTGTGAGATACATATTATAAACAATTCTATAGGTGAGAAGCTGAGGTCAAGTAGCTAGTTAGTAGTAGATTTACTAGCTACTGAATCTTAACTTGTAGGTAGATTAAATTTGGGATCAATTATGCTGAGATGTCTGGAGGGCAGAGTATTATGGTACAGACATTTGGAATTTGCTTGATGGCCTTTATTTGCATATAAAAAACACATTACATAGACAAGTGATATAAACACTCATCTGGAGTCAGAACTATGACTAAGTGGGTAGCTCTGATCCTAAATGTTCATGATATTGATATTCCATATTATCTATTCTATATGAGACTCTGGGAGAGGCATTTGCTTATATATTGTTTTTAATTTGAATGCCTGTTCTATTTTCTAGAAACCTAAGCCAATAATTTCCTGAGCAACTGAAAAGTGTTTAAATTGTATTTTACTTGTTTTTCTGTCTCTTTTTTCTTGCTTAGAACAATATATTTGAGGCCAAAGATCATATCTCGTAATGAGAAGCAGCATAAGATGGAAGCAGCTGAATGAATAAAACTGAGATGAAATAATTTGTCCAAAGTTACACATTTGGTAAGCGGTGGAGCCTGGATAAGAATCCAGGTTAGTATATTTCAAAAGCTGTTAATATTCCCACTTCCTTCCCTCAGATACCTGAACAATCATAAAACATCTAATTATGTGAAGTTGTTTGGTCCTAACATATAGTTGGATCCTTTCTGCTCTGGTAGAGACCTTATAACTGAAGTTAATGATGTCTCATATTTTTATACTTTGAACCTAGGAAAAACAAATCAGGCAGTGGAAACATGTATAAAAGAGTAACCAATATATTATTAGCTGCTGTGTACAGATGTTTAAACAGTTAATCATTTTTGCTAATTGTGCTGTAATTCTTTTCTGTTTGTGGCACGTGCAGATCTTGGTTGTAACTTTGACTGCAGCATGTTCTTCTAGATGGTGAAATCAGGCTTGTATGGCTTGAGAATTAATACAAGATCTGACCTAATATAAATACTAGATCTGCAACTGACCATACTGTCATGATAGAACTTTCTCACTGGACACATAACAGACAGTTCTGTGGGGCCTGGTAAAGTGATGCTTTAAGTTGGAAGTAAAAAGTAGCATCACCTAAAGGGACTCTTGACAGATGAAGCAGGTGTGAGGCTCCAGCAGTACCTCAGACCCTCAGGGAACACACTATGTCCTGCAAGTTAATCAATAATTCTGCTATTGATAACTCTTCTGACCTTCTGGGACACATCTGTGAGGATAATGTGTGCCAAGAAGTCCACCTGGAATCGACTGAAGGCCAGTGTTTCAGTTTGGGTGTAGAGTGGTGAGCACAGAAACTTGTCCTTGCTGGGTGGTCTGGAAAAGGATGTTGTTCCAGTTCAAAAGAATGAGTTGGAAAATTGCCTACATACACATTCATGAAACAGTCTAATGTGTTCTGGAGGAAATTGTGCATAAAGTACTACATTCTAAGGATCTGGTACACAATCCAAACATCACAATAGAACACTTAAATTTATTTTATTATTTATGTCTTTATTTAACAACTATTTATGGACTACCAAGCATGTGTCAGGCACTATCCCAAACCACTAAGGCTCAAAGATGAATACAACAGAGTTTCTGCCCTCAGTGAGCTCTCAGTTGAAGGGGGTGACAGGTATAACAAAATGTGGTCATAAAATAAGTGCAATATTATTGGCAATTTTTTAACTGCAGAGGATATTACTGGAGCATGAACAAAGAGCAACTAAACTAGTGTGGTGTTGTAGATGAAGTTTCAGGGAGGTGTCCTGGTCAAGGTAGCTCTTGTGTTGGGTCTTAAAATAGAAGCTGTAATATATCTGAAAAATATAGGGAAAAAAACAGTCCATGCAGAGGAACTTGGAGAAGCAAAACACCAAATAGCAAAGTGCCACTTTGGAGAATGTCATGAATTATCTTGTTGATTGAGTGTAGTCAAGATGAATATAATGTGTCCAGAATGTAATCTTCCCTGTCCAAAAGCATAGCCAGATTGTTCTCTTTCTCGAGTTCTTTAAAAAAAAGAAAAACAAAACAAAACAAAAAACCCAAATAACTCTACAAAAAAAGAAAGAGTCCTAATTTGGTGTGATTTGCAAGTATCCATAATTTGAGTGATAAATTAGAGTTCAAGTGAAGAAATTTCTGTGTGTAATAATCATGACAACAGAATAACTCTCTGCTCTGTTTCTGGATAAAGAAGCTTAAGTCTTGGAAAGAAGCACCTGCTTTCTGCAGGGAGAAGACTGCCAAATCGAACAGAAATGTAATCAGGACCACTACCCTGGCATCTTTTTAATGGAGACACTGATCTCTGCCTTCCCTTCTGGTTTGTGCAGTTGTTTTTGATTGACTGTCTTGGTCTGTGGGACAAGGACAGTTTCAGAGGTTTCCATTCAGTTTTCTCCACTGATACCTCTTACTTCATAGGCTGAGGACTCAAAGTAGGGATAACTCCCAACTGCCATATATGTTGATTCCAGGTACAAAATAGGAAACTGAGAAAAAGACCACTTGATCCATAGAGTGTACAAGCCAGATTTTAAACAGAACTCCATTTATTGTCTGACATCTGAAAGTGCCTATCTAAAAGGGTGCTATGATGAGGCTTTTGGTCTCTGGGAATCAGTGTCAACTCAGATCTTGTGTCTTAATATGTCTGGGTATTCCTCTTTTCCCAGTGTATCCAGTCACCCAAGTATATGAATGTATGTCCCTTTAAGAAAGGACTGGGGAAATCATTACAGTATATGTTTATTGCAGCGTTGCAGTGTTCTTTTAGGGACCCCTTCGAGTCAAGGGTTTTGGATCTGCAAATTGGCCCAACTCTAGAAACTGAGCAACAGATTATAACTTTTAAATAGGGCTATGTCCTTAGCTTCTTGTTCTCCATTCCTCCTTTATTCTTGTTGTAGAGGTTACACAGCACCTTTTCTGGCTACTGGTCTGTTGTATAACTTGAAGATGCCATGTTCTATTAACCATCTTCACAATTCCCTGTGAGTCAAGACCCTTAGCTACCTCAACAACCTTGCAAGGGTAATTGCACCTTCCTAGCCTCTATTCCTTTCAGTTATATCTTCCTCCACCATAAGCCAAGGAAACTCAGGCATTTCCACTTTTCTCAGCATTTGCCATAGCTCTCTTCAAGCATCAAAGAGCTACTCTAGCAGTGAGTTTGTTGTATTACCTGGAGTCCTTGCCAGAGTACTAAATATAATTCACCAAGAAAGCATCCTCAAGCCAGTAAATTTTTGCTTATTTAATCTTACATTCTGGATCCCTTTATATAGTACCTTTTACCAAGCTGGGTCTAATTATGAACCAGAAACTACAATGTAATATGAACAAAAGGTTTTAAAAAGTAAATAATTATTAAACTATGGTACAGGAATAAATATGAAGATATAAAAGTGACTATAAAGTGACCCCTGTGGCTGAGGAAAAATATCCAAGAAAGGAACATCTTGGAAGGAAGGTGTCCTCCCAAGGCCAGCGTTCAGACCTCAATAGAGTAGGTGTGGTTGCAACTAGATGGCTGAGATGCTTGCTGGGTTTTTTGGGCCAGAGCTGGTCTGATTTCTTCAGGTGGCAGAAAACAACCTTTTGGGGTATAGGTGAGCTGGGGCTGGTGGGTGAGAATGGAGAAGGGGTTAGGGTGCCATTGCCAGTGCAAGTTCTGGGATACACCGGTGTCGACAACAGGAAGACTGCTGTGAGTTGGTCACTGGAAGGACTGCAGTCATCAAGGAAAACTGTTCAGCTTCCATATGTAGTCTTGTATACACATGAGAATACCTACGCAGTAACAAAACAACTACATACTTTTAACGAGATCTATCCTTTTTATATGTAGAGAAGTTCTCTCGTACCATTACCCAAAATGAGATGACACGCAGTTCCAACAGTCTCAAGAAACACTGCAAAACCGTTTTCAGAGTAATCCATCCAGGTGTCCCATCCAATAGTTTAGAGTGTCAAGCTTTCTCAACCAGGTTTCTTAGCATGACAGACTTGCCTTAGGTGAAAATTCAAAAATCTCTGGAGCTCTGAGACTCAACTATTGAAGCTCTAGGCTGTTGTTCAGCTGTGTCTACTTTTCCACTTCAGAGATCAGGGCCTCTTTGTAAGCTACCAAATAACTGCCTGTTAATGACTCACAGTTTCTTATCATTCCCCCACAGTGCATCAAAACAACTTAGCAGTAACTTGCCACCTCCATTGTGTGTGTGTGTGTGTGTGTATTTATTTTGTATTTATATTTTTCAAAATATTTTTCATGTCGTTTAACCATTTTATGGCTGAATTTGGAACTAATCAGAGTCTTTCTGTGTTGAGCTTTCAACATATAATCATGGCATATCCCTCCATTTATGAAGGAATTTTTAAAAACATATTTCAATATAACTTTCTAGAATAATGAGAGACATATTATTGAACAATATATTTCATAATATTGAAGTTCTAGTTCATAACATGTTATAATACTCTATTGACTTGTTTATGTATTTATTTTAATTTTTTTTTTTTTTTTTTAGACAAAGTCTCGCTCTGTCACCCAGGCTGGAGCGTAGTGGCACAATCATGGTTCACTGCATGTTTCTACCTCCTGGGCTCAAAGAATCCTCCTACCTCAGCCCCCTTGAGTAGCTGGGAACTACAGGTGCATGCCACCACACCCAGCTGATTTTTGCAGAGACAGGGTTTCTCCATGTTGCCCAGGCTGGTCTAGAACTCCTGGAGTCAAGCAATCCACCCACCTTGGTCTCCCAAAGTGCTGGGACTGCAGTATGAACCATCATGACCAGCTCAGTTGTTGCTTTTAAACAGTGATGTTAAGAATCAGAATCAGGATGGCAGTGTGAAATTAGTTTATTTGGTATTTGGAGGCAGATATACCTGGGTCTCAGTCTTAGTTTACTTATCAATAAGATTGGGTTAATAATAGTGCTTATCTCAGAAAGATCTGTGATAAGAATCAAGTAAGATAATGTACATAAAGTTCTTAGCACAAAACATGACACATCAAACTCAATAGATTTTCCTGTTAAAAAAATTCAATAGTTAATTAAAGACTAGAACCATTTCACAACTATAAATATCAAAGAAATGAGGCACTGAAAACAAGACAGATAAGCAGAGTCATAATATATCATTGATTATATTCTGTCTCTTGGTGGTTTCATTTTGAAGATGGATAACTTATTATCTTTTGGTCCAAAAGACAGTTCTTTATCTCAGTGACTCAATTTATAGGGACATAGCAGTGAATGAGCTGATTAAAATCTCCATAATAAGGGAGCATACATTCTAGTGGCGTGCTCCGTCATTTCTGTAGAAACCCTCTGTCTGCATCAGAGAGGCTCTGTGCAAAGATTAGTTCAGCTGTAGCAGAAAGGTTGTGGTGGGTTTCTACAAGGGTAGAAGAGAGAAACACCGTTCTTTGCAATAGCCCTTGGGTTCTTTATCAGAATTTTCTTCCTTCTTGTAGACAGTATAGTAGCTGAAAATGTGATCCCTGCCCATATTTGCATTTGCTTTCACCCACCAAGATGCTTTTG